GTTTAGGGTTTGGGGCTCAGGGCGCCAGATGGGATTGGGGCTAGGGTAAGGCTACACGATTTTGCTAGCCATTGGCTAATCGTGATGCTGCATTCGTAACAAGGTGTAGCCTTAGGGGATTATGGGTTTTTTTGAACCTGGATTAGGATTTAGGGTTTAGGGTTAAGTGTTGAGAATGCAGATGGACAATCAGTTTAGCCAAAGAAGTTGTTGGGAGATTGCTGCTGCTGATGGGTGCACCGTATTTGAGGTAGCTACGTGACAAAACCTTAGAAGCTTTAGCTTAACATCGGCATATAGGGAAAATTTCGGGGATCAATTCGTCTCGCCCCTAAAATGGCATCCTCAATCTGAAGCCCCAAAAGCAGACCCTTCCAAATCTTCGAAGCTATAGCGTGGGGATGCATCGACACCCTCGATGCCCAGAATCGGAGATGAAACTTACAGGAAAGCGTTGCTTCTGTCTGCATGCTCATCTGCTTAGGGATCCGGCTAGGATTCATGCGCAAGCCGAGAATGACATTCCCCAACATTTGGAGCTGTACTATCTGGCTGAGGAGACCGATCATTCCATAAGTTCCCACTCCCCCCCTTCACGCACCTATCAGCCGGACTGAGAAGTGACCATGTGTAGCCTTGGTCTATTTTTAACGAATTCTCCACTTATTCTCCAAAAGCTCGAGTTCAGGCCCAGCAGTGTCTTAGATATATAGGGTTTAAGAGCAGCGGGCTTCAATGAAAGTCCGGGTAGGCCTGAGATATGGCTCTCTCTTTTGGAAGTGGATATTTTAAAAATTGGAAACCCCGTCATGTGGCGTAAGATGCTTTCCTCGCACCCCCAGGAAGGACCCTTGATTTTGGCAGCTCCCATCTGCATCTCCCTCCAGAATTCTGCAGGTTAATGTATCTGCAGCCGGACCGACGTGCAAGAGTGCCCCAATGCCGGTCCGACTCATGATGTGAGCTCGGCTGTACCCCCTCACCTAAAACATAAGTTGAAAAGCAAGTCCAAAACTCTGTCTGTCTCTTCGCAGGAGTAAGGCTGCAATCCATGTTCAACAAGAGTTGCACATGTGTAGGAATGGGTGCTAGAACCGGCAAGGGCAATTAACTTGCTGCACAAGTTACTCAGGACTAGTACAGGAAGACCCTTCAGGAACTTCATGGTCTTGCGGAACCCTCGCAGGAGATTCTGCGTCTTTTCCGATGCCCGAGCTCTTGCTCATGTTCCACGAAAATCGGCCTTATTGGCGGCTGCTTCGGAGAAAAGCCAGGTTCAAACAGACACGGAAGCAAGTTAGTAGGATAGAAAACCATGAACAGGTAAAGCTTTGGAGGAGCTCCTTCCAAAGGGTACAGCATGTGCTTGGCACATGTGCTTTAGAAAATGTCAATCTGGACAAAGCTGAAAACTGAAGGTATGCGAGGAGCAGCGCGTTGGTTACGACAGCTTGCCCTCACATGCTGCGTAAGTTAGGATGACCCCCCCGCCCGTGTGACACTGGTATAATAGGAGTATAGTAGGACCCTAAAATAGTCCTTATCCCTGATAGTCACGATTGCAGGGTGGGGGATCCACCAAATGAATAAGCAAGAAAAGTGGTCGGAAACCAGATAAGTAGCGCTTTTTGGTGGTCAAACCAAACAAGAGCGTGTGTCTTACAAAATATTCTACCCAAAAGAGGATAGAATCACACTCTGCATTTTGAGAGAGTAGTATCCCTAACAAAAAGTACTACTCAAGCACCCCAATCGACAGCGCATGTCTGGTGTTCTTTGAACGACCGACAACTCTGTGACAAGAGGTAGAACACTGCAAATCCCCACGCCCTCACTGGCAATCAGACCTCACCCAATGTAACTCAATGCGCAGTCAACAAATTGAAGAACGTTTCCTGCGTTTCACTACCACGTTGGAAGAGGTTGACGTGCCGTGGGGGCAGGGAGTATAGTTGTAAGTCAGTGCAGAGATCGGCCTCACTTGTCCTTGACGTGGCACTGTGCGCCAGGTAATGAACATGTACCAACGACGAAGAACCTAAACTGATCTCGCAACCCTCGCAGCAAGTGTGAATAGTGTCAGCATGTCTTTGATTACAAAGAAAAGTAATGCAGGGGCCTATGTGCTTTTCCCTTTCATACGTCTGTTCCCTCATATTGCTGGTAGACCTAGGCAACGTCCACCACCAAAACCTAGCCGGGGCCCCAATATTGATTAGTTTCTAAGATAGCCCAGGAGCTCCATTCCAATCTTCGAGATACAGTCCAAGATGCACAGGAGGGCATCTTCCGTTCCCTTGGAAATGAGACCTGGTGCAGCTCTCTCCATTTAGGGGTTCGGATTCAGATTTTTATGCCGTGCAATCCCTATATAATCCCTCCTGACCTGACCAAGGCCTGCTGAATGATTCACTTGGCAAGTAGGATAATAAGCCCAGTTATCAGTAGCTAGTGAGTCTGACGAAATCTCATAATGCCCCATGTCCATGACTGTCGGTTTGCAGAGGCCTTTCGGATAGGACCCGGGCTGATTGTGGACAATGAGGTTCCAGACATGATCTCTTCCTAAGCTTTTTGATTCGCATCTTCCTTTGTCCGGGACATCTCTAAGGTCTATGGATCACCGGCTGGCCCGATAAATACCAAACAATGCTGTCCATCAGTGAACGTGCAGAGTACAGGTTCATTCATGTCTTGGTCTACAAGCTTTGCAGAATGAGGAGTCGTTTGTGTATCTGGATGCATTGTTATGCTTATTGCGCGTTCATCCGCAATCTATTGCAAGTCCGTGTGGTCGAACTCAAAACTACGTCTGGCCTGCATGAGCACGTCCCAAGAGAACTACGATGGGATACCCAGTCCAGGATACAATCGTGAGCCAGGAAAGCTGCGAGAAAAGGCGTTGAACATCTTCTGGCTTCTTCAATGCTGTTCCATTGGCAACATCCACTTGCAGCGCAATGATCATCACTGTGTAGAAGAAGATCGAAATGCCGAACCACAGGTATTTTTGGAGCACTTTCGCTTTTGGAACGATCATTGCACTGACAATGCCTCCAGTGAGCATCAGCAGGTCACACCCTATGATGAGGATCGTGGTGTGTTTCTCCGCGCCACCGATCATGCAAAGCTCGAACAGCATCAAAGGCGTGGTAGCAATCCAGTCAATGTACCGGATCGCGGGGATCTTTCTTCCCCCGAGGTGAGCATCACCCATGCCCATCACCTTCGCCAAATATGCCAATGCCGCAATGGCCATGACGAAGAAGGTCACCACCTTCTCTGCTCAAGGTCAACACATCCAAGCATACCGTAACCTAAAGTGAACAGCTAGACCAAACTACCCACACCTTTTGAAGGGTTTGCACAAAGCCAGCAAGCCACATAGGCTTCTTCATTCACATGTCTTGCCCAGAGGATGATAAGCACCAAGGAGGCAAGCGTGAAGAGAATGAACACCACCCAAGAGACGATGATTGCGAACTTGTACCTTAGCTTTTCTTGGAGTAAGATGTCTGAAAGCCAACAACTACGTAAATGTAGCCGTATTCCCACCCGAAAGGCCCAATTCTTGGACACTACTGACTGCATGAAAGGTGGCCTAGGTACGTCCACCACTCATGCTGGCTGCTCTGCACTTTCTTCTGGCGCTGCTCAACCGCATCACCTCACTGGCTTATGAGCCAATTAGTTTCCAATAATGGAGATCACATGGGTTTACGGTTTAGGGTTTGGGTTTAGGGTTTAGGGTTTGGGTTTATGGTTTAGGGTTGGAGAATAGCATGGGAACTAGGTTCATGTAGGGTCATATAGCCTTTACGGGTAATAACTTCACAGATCTGTGCTGGAAGTCTCGTGAATTGCACAGTAGCCCAAACACAGCTTCTTCCTGAAATGGGATTCCTACTACCCTGTCGAAGCTAATTATCCGCCGACCCCGCTCTGGGGGTCGAGCGCCGGGGAAGCCCTTTGTATGGTGGCTTCTACGTGGCTACCTCCAACTGCTTTCTACCTATTACTCCATCTTGAATCCGGTTGTTACTTGGTGGCGGTCCACCTCCAACTGCTTTCTACCTTTTACTCCATCTTGAATCCGGTTGTTACTGGTGGCGGTCGCGTGCATATATGTGGTTTTGCGGCTCAAGTCGCCATCTTGAATCCGGTTGTTACTTGGTGGCGGTCGTGTGCATCGCGTGTTGCTGCCCGTATGTGGTTTTGCGGCTCAAGTCGCCGCTGAGGAGGCCGTGCTCTTGTGTTCCCCTCGCAATCGTTGCGGCAATGGGATCTGCACCAACCAAACAGCACGAGGCAAACCGCGACGGCTACACGTCGCGAGGTCACCCGTGCCCCTACCCTATCCCGGAACCGAAGCCCTTGGACTTTCCCCTGACCCCTTGCCCATTCTGGAACCGAAGCCCTTGCATTTCCCCCTGACCCCTTGCCCTCCCCGAACCGAAGCCTTTGAACTGCCCTGACCTGTTGCGAACTGGGACCCAGGCCTGCCCTGCACCCTCCCCCCAACACTCCCCTCCTGGAAGCAAGGCCCTTGGTCTGCTCCCCCGTCCAGACACCCCCCTACACCCTCCAATCAAGACCCCGAGCTGCCCCTGTGCCGCCCCTTTGCGTCAAGTAGCCCCTTAAATCGGGCAACGCCCCCTCGGGTTGCCACCGCAGGCCATGGCCCTGGCTTTGCCATGGAGCGGACGCCAGTGCCGCCGACCCTGCATCATTGGACCTCCG